AAACTGAGGTTCAGAGAAGTTAAATGACCTGCCCAGGGTCAAATGTGCCAGAAACAGGATTTGAATCTACTTATTCCTGACTCCAATTCAGGTTTTTATCTATTTTATCATATTGCTTGTCTTAATGATTCATCAATATTAAATATTAAGTGACTTACACAATCACAGACTTAGGCAGTGGCAGAGCTTGGACTCAAATCCAGGTCTTCCGACTACAAATCCAAAGCCTTATCCACTACAACATGCTGTCTCAATGACAACAAAGTTCCATGTGGTGCCACCATCAAACTGAACCCCTCCTCTTCAAAAACTGCCTGTCATTGGTCATAAGAATGTAGACAGATCCATCAACAATATAAAAGAAAAGTCATTTGGAATATATGGTGTCCTGATAGTGAGTCTGTGTCATGATTTTACATTATAAAAGGCAGCATTAGATAAGACACCAAGTTAGTATGTCCCTTCAAATCAAGGGGCCCATTTCTATAAAGTGGTTTAAAAGTCCTACCATTTGCTTAATTTAATCTTCCCTCATCCACTCATTTTACAAGAAATTTATTAAACACCTAACAACGCAGAGAAATAGGCCAGGAACAGGAAGTAAGGCAAAATATATGTAAAACATGGAGCTTATGGTCTAGGAGAGGACAGGTAGGTGGCTTAGTGGATGGATCACTGGGCCTGGAATTGGGAAGACCTGAGTTAAAATCCAGCCTCAGATACTTACTAGCTGTGTAACCCTGAGCAAGTCACTTAAACCTGATTGCCTCAGTTCCTCATCTGTAAAATAAGCTGGAGAAGGAAATGGCAAAATACTCTAGTTTCTTTGCCAAGAAAACCCCAAATGGGATCACAAAAAGTCAGACAGGACTGGAAAAAAACAAAAAACAATGGAGAGAGAAGGAGGAAGAGAGGGTGAGGGAGGGAGAAGGAGAGAGAAAATGACAAGCAGAGGATTTTCTGGTTTTATTTTTAGGATCAGAAGGACTCGGAAGCCCCTGTGTGGCAGGGGTTTTAAACTTTTGTGCCATGGATCCCTCTGGCAGTCTAGTAAAATCTATGGATCTTCCCCCACCCCAAATAATGTATTTAAATGCATGAAATACATAGGATTTCAGTTACACTGAAAGTTTTATGGGTATAGAGGGGTATGTGTGTATTTTTAAAGTTCACAAATCCAAGGTTAATAATCTCTGCTCTATGGCTTGGATTAACAGAGAAGTTTGGGGAAAGGTCAAACATTCTTTCTCATTTATTACTGCTGTATCCTTATAGGACCATGAAAAAGCATAGTCACATCATAAAAGGTGATATTTTAATGTGGTATAGAAATGCTACTGCTGGCTGTACCCTAAACACCATTTTCTAATGAACCTATGCTACATTAAGGAATACTCCCTTTAATTTCAATACTCAGCCAGCTTATTAAAATATTTTATGTCAGTGTCTTCTGTGACTTTTAAAAGTGTATGAAGATGAAAAAATGCTCTAAATCACTACTGATTAGAGAAATGCAAATCAAAACAACTCTGAGGTACCACCTCACACCTATCAGATTAGCTAATATGACAGAAAAGGAAAATGACAAATGTTGAAGAAGATGTGGGATAACTGGGACACTAATGCACTGCTGGTGGAGTTGTGAACTAACTGATCCAACCAATCTGGAGAGCGATTTCAAACTATGCCCAAAGGGCTATAAAACTGTGCATACATACCCTTTGATCTAGCAATACCACTACTAGGTCTGTATCCCAAAGACATCACAAAAAAGGGAAACGGAAATATTTATAACAGTTCCTTCTGTGGTGGCAAAGAACTGGAAATTGAGGGGATGCTCATCAATTGGCGAATGGCTGAACACGCCATGGTATATGAATGCAATGGAATAGTATTGTGCTATAAGAAATGATGAGCAGGCAGATTTCAGAAAAACCTGGAAAGACTTACCTGAACTGATGCTCAATGAAGTGAGAACTAGGAGAACACTGTGTACACGGTAACAGCAACACTGTATGATGATCAACTATAACAGACTTAACTCTTCTTAGCAATACAACGATCTAAGACAATTCTAAAAGACTCATAACAGAAAACGCTATCCACATCCAGAGAAAGGAGCACAGAATCTGAATGCAGATTGAAACATACTATTTTCATTTTTTCCCCATGTTTTTTCCATTTGGTTCTGTTTCTTCTTTCACAACATGACTAATGTGGAAATATGTTTAACATGACTGCACATGTATAACCTATATCATACTGCTTGCCATCGAAGGAAGGGAGAAAAATTTGGAATTCAAAATCTTATTTAAAAAAATGAATGTTGAAAACTATCTTTACATATAATTGGAAAAAATAAAATACTATTTATGAAAAAAAGCATATGACAAATTGGTTCACTGAAACAAAGTTTAAGTAATAAGAATTTTAATTTGTTCTAAAATTCCACACCACCCTCTTTTTTCTCCCCCTCATCACTACTAACTTCATGTACTTCCTGCCCAGGTTTTTTATTAATACAACTGGTCGCTTGTCATGTCCCGATCTCTGAATATCAGCCATTTAGCAATATTGTTCAATAGCATATAAAGTTTAACAATACTTGATGCTCTACCACAGATATCAGTCATGTAGACCCCCAATTATTTTTCTGTCCAAAAAGAATGATAAAGTGGAGAGAGCAACTCTGGAAATAAAGGGCCTGGGTTTAAATCCTGACTTGGCCTCTTACTAGTCATGTGAACTTCAGCAAGTCTATTTTACCTCATTAAGCCTCAGTTTCTTCAACTGTAAAACATGGAAGCCAAACCAGGTGAACTTTAACGTCCTTTTTAAGTATGACCATATGAATTTAAAAATCTACACAGACATAATACATAAAAACACATTAAAGTACAATAGACAGATACAAAAAAGTGTTAAAATAGCTACTTTATATCTATATGAAGAATACTGTTGTTCAAAGAAGGATCAGGGAAGGTTTCATGGCAAATGAGATGGGCTAAAAGATGGGAAGGAATTCAACAGGCAAAGAAAGAAAGGGAAGCTATTTCAGGCAAAACAAAGCAAAGGGTTAGCAAGGCACAGAGGAGAAAAGTACAGGCAGGGCACGTTCTCTGGACAGAGAGCAGTCCAGTATGACTCCACAGAGATTACTCTGAGGGGAAGTAACATGATATCCAACAGTGTATCACAATGAAGAGGCCCTTGAATGCCAGGCAAAAATAAGAAGTTAAACACTAGGCATCAAGATTTTTTTTAAGCACGAGAATGACACGACCAAACAGGAACACGAAACTGTTGTTATGGGACAGATATCAAAGACGTATTGGAAGAGAATGAAGTGGAAAAATCCTACTTTCTATCCTCTAATCCCTCACCCTAGCAGACATGGGAGAGAGCTGCAACCCTGAAAAAGGGTCTTAGAAAACAACCGAGCCCAAAAGCTCATTTTTTTCATAAAGCAACTCAATAAACATTTACTAAGCATCCAGTGGGGAGAGCACTGGACCAGGCCCTGAGAGAGAAACTTTTTAACTAAGGCACAAAGAGGTTAAATTAGTTGATCAAAATTAAGGAATCACAGAATTTCAGATTTGAAAGGGATCTCAGCAGCCATCTTAGTTCAACTCATACATACTCTAAAAGACTCTTCCCTACGACGCCCAAGTCTTTTCTTCAAGACTCAAGGCTGAGGTAACCCATTACCTCCCAAAGCAACTCATAACGTTTTTTGATATCTCTAGATTAAATGAAAGTTTTTATTTGCATCAAGGCTGAATTTGCTTCTTTGCAACTTTCCATTCATTGCTTCTACTTCTGCTTCTGAGGCCAAGAAGAACAAAACAAGTCATCACGATCCAAAGCAAAGAGCAGTGGTTGAAGAGTCAAAGACTTGGGTTCAAATCTTACTTCTGCCACTTAATCTTGGTATGACCTTCTACAAGTTATTTCATCTCTCTGGGCCTCAGTTTTCTCATCTATAAAGTGAGACTGGACCATATTAAAATTCTTAGCCTTTTGTGTCACACATGCCTTTAGTCATGTGGCAAAGCTGATAGATTCTTCTCAGAATATTTTAAATGCATAAAATAAAGTACATGATATTAGAAAGGAAGCCAATTATAAGGAAATACAGTTATCAAAATCTTAAGAAACAAGTTCACGGAACCCAGGTTAATAACTCCTGGACAAGATGAAGTTTCTTCCAGTTCTACACTTCTGATCTCTAATCCTAAAATCTAATCTTTCTGCCACAAGACAACCTTTCAAGTACCTCAAGGCTTTAGCCTTCTCTTCTCCAGGCTGAATATCCCCAGTTCCTCCAACTAACCTTCCAATATCACAGATTCAAATCCAGCTTGGTTACCCTCCTCTGGATCCTCTCCCCTTTCACTTAGCCCTTCCTAAAATGTTGTCCAGAACTAAAAACAATACTCCACACATGGTTTGCCAAAGGCAGAATATGGTGAGACAACATCCCTATTACTTCAAGATATACCTTAAAGAAGTCCAAGATCAGATGTGTTGCGTTTTTTCCCCCCAGCTTCCAACTCCCAGGTTGACTCATATTGAGCATGTACTTCATTTACACTCCCAGATTTTTTAAAAAAATTGATATCTAACCATGTCTCCCCCATAATTCATTTGCTAAGTCAATTTCTTGTACCCATGTGTCACAAGGCTATTCAAGTGAAGTCCTGTATTCCTGCCACTAACCAGCATAGGGAGAGTTATGTAATAACTTGGCTTCCATCCCACTTACTGTCAGATCTCAACAATTTCTAAAGATTTCTACTGATCTGAATGGAGAGTGGAGGAGACGTTTTTCTTATTTCCTCTAGCAAAAGGCCATAGTAGTAAAAGGACAAAGCAGGAGAAAATTTCTGCATCTGTAAACCACAATTTTGAGGAAGATTATTTAAAAAAGCTACAATGTAACAGAGCAAAGAAAAATAGAATTGAGATCATATTCATCAAATCACTACATTACCTACCTGTACAGAGAAGTCCATCCTTGTAGTAAAGTGCATATACTCTGGCACTGTGTCCAATTAATGATGAGGTCTCAAAGGCTTCATGGTCCTTCAATTGCTTCATTCTCAAAATTGCCTTCAAATAAACTTTCTTCCAATGCAAAGCGTCCTGAACGGAATCATCTATCTGCCAGCCCAAGTTTCTACAAGCGGTCTGCCATACCTCTGTACAGGCACTTATAACCTTATTCCACTGCTTAGAGACGAGGCAACATGTGAGTAAGGTCTGAGGATCGAGCCATTTTAACAAATAAAAACTGAGCTCCAGGGGAAGAAGTTTGAGGAAGTCTCGCTTGAGCAGAGTCTCTAGGTTATTGGAGAGATGCCTGAGCTGGATTGCTCCACTCAGACTAATCAGGTGATCCAGACTTTCATTTTTCTGCAAGTCCGTCAGAGAAAGAAATGTAACAGAAATGTTATCAAGCCATGTCTCAAAGTCCTTTCTCTCCATAAGGTTATGGAAAAATTTACCTGTGGCACATCAAAATATCGTATTAGTTCTGCTCAAAAAGACAGTACAAGTATGAATGCTAAAAAAAAATTATAAATTAGTGTCAATTTTGGCATTATTTTATCCTGTTAAACAGTTAATATGTTACACTTTTATAGTTAATGCACCATAAGCATCTTAGTTATCTCCATGCATAGAAAATACATTTATTTATACACATTTCAACAAAATATGATTTTTGAAATAGCAGTCACTATAACTTACTCTACCATTATGAAACTAACACATGCCACATGCATTTTCAATGTAAAAAATTTACAGTGTATTCAGTTACTACCAAATAGTTCTAGCCTGAAACATATTACCTGAATAAAAGAACACTTGGAAAATCCATTTCAAAATTTAATTTGCTTAACGGCATGCCACAACAATCACAAGTATTTTAAATCCCTTGATACTAGATGTAGATGCTGAAATCTCAAAAGGTGATAGATACAATGATCACCAAGAACATCATTACTAACATCTTCAGAAACAGTATAGTTAAAGCAACAAAGGCCAGACGCACAACCACACTAGTGCAAACACCCTGCACCAACTCAATGCAACTGAACAATTATTTGAAGCAGGAACTATGTACTTAACTAAGTTCAAGGCAAGAAAAATATAAACAATATGATCCCTGGGTAGTCCACACCTCAGGTCCTAGTTTGTTAAGGGCTCTACTATCTGTTTCTATAGTGTAATGTCTACTCATAGTCTCCAGTGAATGAAATCCCTTCAGCCAAAGTTCAGTATTCTTAGTAGAACTATAGAGTAGGAAATATTCTGCAATCAGCTACAGTGTAAAAGAATACTAAGTTTGGAGTTGCCTATGAATTTACGTAACCAAATTGACAACTTTCCCCTCTCTGAGAAAGAAAAGCTACTCAAAGGATAGCTAGGATAGGCGAAGAAAGAAGTTAGAAGTTAAATATGAAAGTACCTTCTAAAAATCACTAAACAAATGCACCAAAGAAGGAACAAAGAAAGGTGAGGAAAGCAGACTACACTTTGCTCAAATCTGACTATTGATTTTTCCTAACTTTAGCCTTATTATTTTTGAAAATATGAAGTCTCTTCTGTCCAAGAGAAGTAGACAAACATCTTTCACTGAATACCACAGCTCTTCTATGGGGGAAAAAAAAGAATAGAACACAACTTGCAAATATACTCCCTTAGCTTGATTAAACAATATTAATCATATTCATTAAGCACAGCAGGAAGAGTAGCAGACAAAAAGAAGTCTGATTAATTAGCAGGAGCAACTGAACAGTTTCTAGTCACTATAAAACAAACACAATCTATCAGAAAGCCTAAGAACCCAAGATACATAAAAGGTCTGTGATACATGTTCATAATATCATGATCATAATACCCTTCACTTTCTAGCTGTGACCCTAGGTAAGTCACTTGTCTCTCTAATGCTGATTTCCCATATACAAAATGAGAAAATTAGACTAGATAATCTCTAAGACTCCTTCTTGTTCTAACACTGTGGCACTCACCAGCCCACCACAGCTTTTTATTAGCTTCCTCATACTTATAGTTATCACCCATGTGAGCTTCCTACTAGTCCCTTTCCAACTTTTAACCTGTCTAGGCTCAAAAATCTCCAGTTGTTGCATTTTTAATCATTTAAAGTCAGAAAGAAAAACAAATTTCTAACGAATGCCAAAACAATCAGTCAATTCTGTGGGGGAAAACAAAATCTGTCTAATGTTCGGCACAATGTAAACAAAAGGAACTAACAGATGTATCTCTTCTACCTTGTCTTCTCACTTCACTCCCATTTTTCCCAACTGTTTAGGTATTCTACAGATTTGGCCTCTTATTTATTCCCACTTAAACTGTTAACAGGAAGTAGTAAAGTCAAAACAGCACAAAAATACTGAGAGTTCTAAAAACTGCAGCAGCTGCTGGCAATATTGGTCATACTAAATTTTGCACTAGTTGCGGTGGTTATCTTGTCATTTTGTTTTATTTTGAAACAATGGTCAGGTTTACTTTTTCAAAAGCCACTGATATATACAATGAGAGGCAATAAGATATGCCAGACAGTACTAGACTCAGAATCAGGAGATTTGGGATCCAGAACTAACTATGCCACTAATGAGCTGGGCAACCTTGAGTAGGTCAGTTCCCCTTCATGAGTTTTATTCTCCTAACCAATAAAATAGGGATAATCTCCATACTATCTACCTGGTTATAAGAATCAGATGAGATAATGTTCCTATAGTACTTGAAAACTTAAAGCATCATATAAATGTGAACTATTATTATATTAAAAACACCTTGATTTATAATGGCTGGATACTTGTTTTAATGCCTGTTAAATACATTTTCTCAATGCCCTAGTAAAGAATTCCCAGGATTACACCATTCATAATCATAAATCACTGTTTCCTACCTAAGGCTAAATTAATCTGATCATGATCTCACTGAAGAGTACTAGGAGACACTAACCAATGAATACTTAAAATAGAGACTCACATACTCATCCTGACCTTGACCATAACATGCCTTAATTCCTACCCTTATATAAGGAAGAACCTTTAAGCAGCTGCTAGTTTCCTACTAATAGTCAACTAGAAGTGATTGTTTCTTCTACTTAACATAAATAAAAAAGTTATTTCTCAGATGTCCAGAGTTTAATTACACCTTACTGTGTCAAGAGATACTTTTTCATTTAGCTACTCATAGAATATATCACTTTACAGATAAGCACCAAAATTTTAATACATTTAAAGCTGAAAATGAACCTTGTCTTAAACATTTTATGTGATTTCAGAGGTTGCCAAATGGATTATACTGAAATTCTTTTGATTGGACACTCTAAGCTGAATTCTTTAAAAACAAGGAAAGTTTAGAATGTCAAGACAAACTACTGTATGTTGTAACTAATTTAATTGGTGCCACTGAGCGGGACCACAGACAAATGGTCCTCTCAAATACGCTTTTCTCTCTTTTACTTTCCTTCCTTTTTTCCTATTCTATTTTTTCCCCTCAATTTAAAAAAACATTTACTAAGGGTCCACTATATGCATGAAATTGTGCTAAGCACATAATACTCTGTTCCTGCCCTGCCATTTACCCCCATGGATATAGCTTGGTGGCAGAAGTGGCACTAGACATGTGGAAAGTCAAAAAAGCTATATTCTAGTATTCTGGATCTGTGACTTCCTATCTGTGATGCTCACCTTCTGAGCCTGAAAATCCACAAGTGCTTTTTAAACTGTTTAGTGCTATCAAATTACTAAAGATCACAGCACTCTGAAGAACTAGATACTAACAGGGATCTGAAGACATTTCAAAAGAGGCCCTAGATTTCTAAAATACAATGGGTTGTATAGAAAAAGCCAAGTCTAAGAATCAAAGAGGGCCTGGATTCAAATCTGGACATTGTCATGTATTATCCATGCAATTATGAGTAAGTCATTTAAGCTCTCTGGGTCTTGGTTTCCTAATCCATAAAATGAAGGGGGCTGGGTCTGATAACTTGTAAGGGCCCTTCAGGGTTGAAATCTATGCTCCTTCAGCAAGCTTTCTATTTCCTAAAGAATAAAGTTTAAACTCCTTAGTGGAGAATTCAAAGATTTTCCATAATCTAGCCCTAAAATGATGACTCTTGTGCCCATATCTGGTCACTTCATCCCCTGACTAAAAAAATCTTGCATAACTTCCCACTGCCTGGCCAAAGACATGTAAACTCCTCTGCTTGACATTTGAGATCCTCCACCTTGCCATCTTTATCAATTTACTCTCCTTTAAGCACTCTAAATTCCAACCAAAGTAATCCTTAAAAAAAACCTGTGTTTCCCTTTTCTGTGCCTTTGCTCACGCTGTCACTATGACTCCCTAGCCCACTTCACCTGTTGAAATTCTAACTCATACTAAAAGTCCAACTCAAATGGCACCTCTTCTATGACCTGACCCCAATATTGTTAACAACATTCTCCTCAAATGTAAGTTTTTGCAACTTTCTAGCACATGTTTTTCTGGACCTATCTTTTATTTGTACAGGCAGCTTCCAAAGAACAAATTCCTCTACAAATGCAGAACCGCATCTGTTCTGCAACTTATAGTCTTAAGAATCAACCTGGGGCACTGAGATGCAAAGTAGCTTGCCTAAGACCAAAGCCAGTATGTATCACTGGAAGGACCTGAATCCAGGGCTTCTTGATTTCAAAGAGCTCTCTAGCCACTACACCAAGCTGCCTCTCACCAAAGGTATTACTAATTCTCTCTGAAATTTTTGTGGTGTATTCCAGATATCATAGGTATCTACATTAGTACCCTATCATCCACTAAAATATAAACACCACAAGGGCAGAGACTAGTTCTTACCTAAACTTTGTATCTTTCTTAATACCTAACATAATGCTCTCTTGCACTACCTGAGGCTCAGGGCTGTAAGGAAAGTTTTTTGCAAACCTTAAAGTACTATATAAATGGGAGATATCATTATTACATTTTCTACTACAAATGCCACCTTCTACATGGAGTCTTTTCTGTTCTCCCCAACTGCTAGTGCTTCTCCCTACCCCACCTCCTCCATTACCTTGTACTGATTTTACATATACTTCAATATGTTGTTTCTCCTGACAGCATGTAAGCTCCTCAAGGGGAGGGACTGTATAATTTCTTTCTTTGTATCCTTCCCTAGCACAGTGCCTGGCATAATAGGTGAATAATAAATACTAGTTAAATAACTCAATGTTTTAAAGTAATCTTATTTCAAAATCCTTAAGACAGTTTACTAAAGGTGTGGATTAGGCTTTGCATTAACAGAAGGAAAACGTCCTAAGTATTAGGCCAAAAGAATTAGTTAAAATATAGAGTACACTGCCTTAGGAGAAAGTGAATTAATTCCCTATCACTGGAGGTTAAGCCTAGGCAGCATGGTAGAGCTTAGGGCACCCAATTTGAGTCAGAAGCCTGGATTCTAATAATCATACTGCCATTTAACAACTGAATGGCCTCCAGTATGTCACAATTTCTCCAAATATGTTCTTTTACATATAATATGCAGACAATACTACTCATACTACTTCACTAATAAGATTATAAAGGAAGTGCTTTGTATATCTTAGTGATACAGGTTTGATATAACTGCAACAGACACAGAAGATAGAACTGGGTAGAACTGAATTACAAAGGTGTTCCCTTCCTACTCTAAGGATCTATGCATGTGATAGTTAAAGATATACTTTAGGAATAACCATATACTTATGGAAAAACCTCATGGCAGTAGGCATAGTCAGAGAGCCGGACCTGGGTTCAAATCCTGCTACTGACAACTAGCCACATAAAAACAGGCAAACCATTTATTTTCTGTGCCTAGGTTTCCTCACCTAGGATCGTAGTGAGGCTCAAATACAAATAAATATATGCGTAAAATGATGCCCGAACTTCGAAAAGCTATGCAAATGCCAATTATTACTGGTAGTGTTAACCGTGCTATAAAGAGCACTACACTGAAAGAAAAAGGACCTGTTTAAGAAATTGGGGTCCTATGCTTGCTAGCTGCATGATCTTGGGTAAAACTAGGCTTTGGTTTCTTAACTAGGTTTGTGAATTTGGGCAAGTCAATCTGAAATCACTTCATTTCTCTGAATTTCCATTTCATCACCTGAAAAATGGGCTAATACGGGTCCTACCTACATCAGAAGATTACAGTAAGCTCTGCTGGCCTTTGAATGCTATTAAAAACAGGGGCTACAATTGCTACTGGGATGAAGATTTCTGAGGAGGGCTCCCCTGCGGAGGGGATGCGGGCTGTCAGGGCTCAGAGGCTGGACTGGCTGAAACAGTTGGACGAGAGGAAAAGGCGGGGCAGGAGGAAGAAGAGGCGGCCTGCCTCTGACACCGCCCCCCCCCCGCTCCCCCCGCACATTCCCTTCCCCCACATATCCCGCGCGCGGCTTCCCGCCCCGTGCACTGACCTGAGGGCGCGCTCCGGGACCCGGGGCCTCGGGACGGACATACGCCGCCTAGGCGCCCGCGGGCCGGCGGAGCCTCGCAGCGGCCGGGCCCCTTCGGCAGCCATGGCGCCTGGACAGGGAGACACAAAGACACACACAGTGGGTCAGACGGGCACGAGTTCTCTTCTTCTTCCCCTCCTCGGGCTGCCCCCGCCGACCCTAGCCCGCGCAGCCCCCGCCCCACACACCGACTCGCGGCCGCCGCTCGGGTTCCGCAGGCTCGGAGGGGAGCGGCTTCCGGCGCCGCAGTACGTCACCTCCGCGCGCCCAGCCCGTCCCCCGGGAACTGACGAATCAGGCAGGGGAAGGGCGAGGGGGGGAGGAAAGACACTAACCGGAAGTAACTCCGAGAACATTTCCGACCTCCACTTCTCGAAGAGTGTGAATGAAGCATGCGCAGTAGCTCCCAAAATGGCGATGCCTGCCAACCTGCGCCTGTCTCTAGGGCTAGAGTTGATGGAAAGCATGTGTGAAAAACCGACGGAAATGTGAACAAGAAATGTAGTAAAAATCCCTCTAGACTGAAAGATGTAAGTAAGGATGTGCTTTTAAAAGAGCCTTTCATCTCACGCTGCCAGAGTACCTGCCTAGTTCTGAATTCGGTGTTCATATGATTTCTTCCAAGTACCTGATTTCATCCATTAATTAATTTCGTTCTTACTTTTTATTCTTTACCTTGCTTACATCATAAGCTTTTATGGAAATATATTCATTGATCCTGGCTTCCTAACACTGAAATAGTTAAATTTATGTAAGTTCAAACAAGCCCCCTACCTTGAGTCACAGTGCCTTGTGTCAAAAGGCCTTGCAGTCACAACTGTAACACCTGAAAGTAGTTATACAGCTAATTCAACCCATTTTGCAGGTGAGGCCATATCTCAGAGACATGAGGTGACTTGCTTAAGGTAATATATTTAGCAACAAAACATGTAGCAGACTCCAGATCTCTTCTTGACTCTATTCCACTACACACTACTTCCAAGAAGTATGTATGTTTTAATGGCTGTAAAAAAATACAAAAAAAAAAATCACCTTCTCTTCTTCCCTTTCCTTATGCTACCTCCACCTCCAACATTAGGAGAATCAAGAGATCACCCATAGTCAGGGGCAGGCCAACCTCCAGCTTGAAACAGGTATGTGATTTGACTTTTTAAAAAAGTCATTTAGCCAATCCTAAGGCATAGAATCATAGGCCTAGAGTTGGAAGAAGGCCAAAGACCATCCTTTCGTTTTACAGATGAGGAAATTGAGGCCCAGGAAAGTTCAGTGAGTAGCCCAAGGTCACACTGGTCAGAGGCATAATTTGAAGCCAAGTCCTCTGATTCTAGAGCCAGTAGTTACTATCATCAGACCCAGCCTATAATGGACCCTTATTTAAATCCTTTAAATGCACACATTCCAATCCCATGACCCACAAAGTCCTGCATTATTTTTTTGTCACATTTAGAACACTGGTGACCTCATAAGATCATCTAACCCAACCACAATTTACAGATGAAAAAATAGCTAAATATTAGAAAAACTTTTCTTCAAGTAAACAAATTACTGTTTACAAAGATAAACATAATCCTGGAGATCAAGTCCAACACTTCATTAACTGTTTCGAATATCAAGGAACATTTATTTTTTTAATGATTCCCTACAGTCTTAGGGACTAATGAATTAGGTAGACTGTTCTGACTCTATTACTTTGGGTTTTCTCCAACTGCAATATGATCAGGGTGTTTGTGTGTGTGTGTGTGTGTGTGTGAGCATGAGCATTCTGTGCATCCATCAAGTAAAGCTGGAACAAAGGATCAAGCTGATTAGAGAGAAACCTTATCCTAAAAGTTCCAGACATAAAGTGCTTCCACTTCAGTTGCAAATGGAGTCATCTATACATTTCAACCCAAATCCATACTTGGACTAAAGTGCTTTGAGAATTCCGAATTCACTCACAGATAAAATGCAGGTAAAACTTTTTTTTTAATGTTTAAGGCATTTATTATTGTTCTTTGAGAGGCAGAGATTCAGAATTCTATGTAACCCAGTTTCTTCCTATAGTACCTTAGGCTAAATACAGTATTAAAGAAGGTCTGCATTTCCTTTTGCTGCAGGCAAACTAAGAAAATGAGAAATTCAGACCTTCGTGATGATGAGAGGACCCCAGAGAGGATCTCATAGATTTGGAAACTGAAAGAACCTTAAAATCTATAAAGTTCAACCCTCTCATTTTACAGATGAATAGGATTTTTTTTCTTCTCAATTATGTGAAAGGGAAGGTAGGAAGCCCTATTATATGATAGAGCCAGTGAAAATGGGTTCAGCCCCCCTTCTCCAACTCCTACCTTTTGCATCATATCTCTACTGATGCCATACCACAGAGCAAGCAGGATACAGCAGTCTCTTGTGTGTTGTATTTTTGTGTCTTTCTCAGCTAAAAACTACTATGCATTCCTCTTTGGACAGGAAGCCATGCAGATCTAATTTGGTCCCAATGAAAACTTGAGTACTTTCATAAATATTAAGTATATTGGGATATCTGCAAAGTTATATATACACATTATATATTATACATCATATGGAAATATTAATAAAACACCTTTGAAACATGGGTGAGAACTATATATGCATTTCAGATTATGCCACAACTAACATAAAACTGCTTGACAACTAGAAAAATGAACTTCTTGTATTAGAGGAGAAACAAATTCTGTGTAAATGATATCAAAGTCTAACTCAAATGAGGAATAGCAAATAATTGGTTTCTACTCCTAATATATTTCCACAAATTTCAGGTGAATGCAAACAACTATCCTATGTTCTCTTCTTATTTAGGTGACATTCTGCAGGTTTCGGACTCACCAATGGTGCTTCATTTTATTTAATGTCATCTTGTTTCATGCTCTGCTCTTTGGAGCTGACTTTGTGGAAGAATACTTTCTGCAGTCATTACCATATGTAGATGTGAGAGTTCTTGAAATTAAGGACAAAGCCAGAAAATTAAATGTGGAGCCCTTAAGATATAACCTCTCAAAATATTATATCTTGAGCCAGGAGGAGGCATGCAAGGGAGAAGATATCTTTTTACTCTCTCTTATCTTCAGTAGTCCAGGAAATGGGTCAAGGAGGGATTTGATAAGGAAAACCTGGGCTAATGTAACTACTATACGGGGACATCCTATCCTCACATTATTTGCCTTAGGAATGCCAGATCTGGGAACCTCTCAGCAAGACATTAACATGGAGTCTAATAAATACAGAGATATTATTGAAGGATTTTTCCTGGACAGTTCTGGGAACCAAACACTAAAGACCATCATGATGATGCAGTGGGCTGTAACTTTCTGCCCAAATGCCATGTTCATCCTCAAGGTCAATGAAGAGATGTTTGTCAATCTCCCTAGCCTGGTGGATTATCTCCTCAACTTAAAAGACCACCTTGAAGACATCTATGTGGGAAGGGTCATCCATCAGGATATGCCCAATAGAGATCCTCGAAGTCAGAATTTTGTTCCAGTTAGTGAGTATCCAGAAAAGTACTACCCTGATTACTGCAGTGGAGAAGCCTTTATCGTGTCCCAGGATGTGGCCCGTATAATGTATGTGGTTTTCAAGGAAGCACCTTTGGCAATACCTGCTGATGTTTTTATAGGAATCTGCGCCAAGTATGCCGGCCTCATACCCATCCACAGTTCACGGTTTTCTGGGGAGAAGCATATCAGGTACAATCGATGCTGCTATAAGTTCATCTTCACATCCTCAGAAATGACAGATGAAGAAATGCCACTTGAGTGGAGGGAAGTTAATGATGGGAAAGAATGCACCTTGCTTGAAACCTATTATGGGTTGGTTTCCTGCAAACTTCTAACTTATCTTGATAGCTTTAAACACTTTAATATAGCACCTATAAAAAATGATGCAATGTATTTTGCTAATTAAGACTTCATTTTCCTACAGAAAACATGCTTTACAACTTCCCTTTCTCCTATCATAGTAACATGGTCTTCCCTTTGTATTTCCCCCAAAAGGCTTAGCTATAAAAGCCTCTGCAATTATGTATTTAAACAAGAGAAAGAAATTTCTTAGCCTTTTTAATTCATGTCCCAAATACCAATGACGTAACAGTTCCTAAAGAATTTAATTGTACATAGAATTCTTTCTTCAATCACCTTGTCTTTTTAAAAGGAAAATGCATTAAATTTATTTCTGTGAAGAATTGCCTCTTCTTATTCTTTACAACTGCAGAGCTTCTCAATAATATTCAAAGACAGTCATACATACATTAATGGAACTAGCTTTTGTATTTTTATAATCTCTGACTTGAATTAAATGAAAAAAATTCAGTAGAATTATTGTAAAATGTTACTCAATACTGTGTGCGTGCAGCAAATGGGTCTATAAGCTAAAAAAAATCATGGCTCCATCATCTAGTCTCAAAGAATTATATGCACCTACTACAAATAAATCTTAATTTTATTCTTATAGTATGCAAGTTCCTTGAGTTAGCACATTTACCTCCTATGCTGGTAATTTTCTGCAGAAATTTTTCAACTAAGTCCAAACAGGCTCCACGATATAAACAGGAAGCAATTAATTCATTCATTTGGTGTTGGCATACCGTATTTCTCTTATAGGATAGACAAGAATTAAGCACTAGAAATATATAATATTAAGAGCTGGAAGAGACCTTAGAAGTTATCCAGTCTAAATTTCTGTGTGATATATGAAATGACTCAAAAAAATCCCAGAGTTATCTAGCCTCTACTTTGTTAGAACTGGAAAGGGCATTAGAGATCACTGCCATGAAGTTAACCCCCTAATTTTAGAGGTGAGGAAACTGAGGTCTAGAGAGGTTCAGTGAGTTGCCTAAGTCATATTACTAGTAAATGGTAGTCTATACTCAAGCTTAATTCTTTTTTATTCCAAATCCAGTATTCTGTTATCACCACAAATTAGAATTCTCTTAAAATGTAATTTTAATATGGAAGACAAAAAGGGAAAATTGGATTTTGTACACATTGCTAATTCAGCAATTTCAAAATACCATTTTAGGATTTGAATGTCTTTTAATTCAGCAGACTTTTCGCTCAAGTTCCTGAAACTGAATCATATTCTTCTCTATGCAACTTGCTTTCCAAATTAGCACTATTACTTTACCAGAGACAGCAAGGTGGTATAGTGGCTGAATCTGGAGACAAGAAGTCCTGAATTTAAATCTGGCCTCAAACACTTACTAGATGAGTGACCCTAGGTTAGTCATTTAATGTCTCCCTCAGTTTCCTCATCTGTAAAATAGGGATGATAACAATAACACCTACCTCCCATGATTTTTCTAAGTATCAAATGTAGTCATGTTGTTGGTTTAGAAAGATGTTTCTTTTCTGGTAATAAAATAACACCTAACATTTAAGTAGAGCTTTAAGGTTTGCAAAGCACTTTACAAATATTAACATTTGATCATTATCTCTGCCTCTTAGAATTCCTAACTCCCTTCAAAGCACAGCCATTCAAATGGTCCCTTCCCTAATGAGGCCTTTCCAGAACCTTCCAAGTGCTAAACCCTCTCCTTAAGAAATTATATTGTATTTATTTAGTATAGTCTTATATGCTGTTTCCTTCAAGAGAAAGTAAGCCCTTTGAAGGCAGGAAATATCTCATTTTTGCTGTTGTATACCCCAATGCCTAGCACAGTGCTTGACTCAACATTAGTAAATTACTTTCATATAGTTTTCTTGGATGGAAAAGTCACCAAATTCACTTGGAAAAATTCAATTTATTTCAATACACTAATGTATGAAAAAGCAAGTCGTTAGGTTTGCTGATGTGCTACAGAGGTAATGGAGAGTGGAAGTAGTGCTAGCTGGGTAGTCAGGAGACTTGAATTCTAATTGTTTGGTACCAACTCACTCTGGGCCTCAGTTTCCTCATCTATAAAATTATAAGATCCCAAAGGTCCCTTCCAGCTCAAAAGTTCTACAATTTTAAAACCATCTTTAACAGATATTTACTAAACACTTAGATTTAGGGTATTGTGCAAGGTACTAAATAGGTGAATGGTTAAATGGTGATAGGGGAAAAATGAGTACTTAATAGCTTCAGGGGCCTTATAAATCTAACATCCTATTTCTAGTAACTCAAGCTTAGTACCTATGAGAGAAATACTGAATGTCAAGTCACTTCCAACTTTAACATCCAAATGAATCCAAGAATTCTATAGGGAACAGAAGCTGTAGAATAAGAATGTGTCTTCAGCAGGTGTTGCCAGGGAGAGTTTTAATCAAGTGCAATAGGAAAAAAGTGGAGTCAGATATAAAAAACAGAATAGATGCAATTCAGCAGTTATAGCAGAGTCATCAAAACAAGATTTCAAATTGGAAGGGTTTTTTACCACCTGGATTTTCCTTAAGTCACAGAATGTCTCATTTTCTAACAAAGAACAACAACAATTATAAAAATTCATCTCAAAAGCTCACCAGAGACCTTATAAAAAATGATTTACTTACATTATAAAGATGAGAACACATAATTTTAGGGGTCCACACTGCTTTATAATCTAAAGAATATGCACATCCAATAGTGAGGAGGTAGCAGGATAAAAAACAAAAAGGTTTGCCAGGAGTAGAAGAGAATTCCTAATGTAATTTGCTTCTCTTTTGAATAAAGCAGGACTCTTTGTGGCAGAAAGCATTTTCTATTGAGGCATCTATAGGACAAAGGCGTTCCCAGCATTTGGGACTATAAATATTTTTTTAATTGTATGCAGTTTTGGCAAGATCATGTGTATTTAGGGAAGCAGAAAAATACTTGGTTCAAAAAATGACCAAAGTCCCCTGCAATATGGAATATTTTCTTTTCACAAAGAGTTCCAAAGCCCTGTTCCACAATGTACTTCAAATACAGCAACAGCAAATGCATAGTTGTTAGTCTACCTTAAACACACCATGATAGTTTTTTTTAAAAGTGCAATTATACCTAGAAGTATTTTCTATTATGTTACATACAAACAAACAAACAAACAAAAAAACCAAAAAAACCCCTCAAAGGTCTTTTGAGGATGTCTTGGTCATGAAGATTGGTCCCCTAAACTGAATTTTTTGGAACTCATTCTGCTCCTTCCACAGCTGTTGTTGAAACAGACTTCACGAAGTATGGCCCTTCACTCAGGTAAGCTCTTAGTCTTAAATAATATTGGTTTCCAAAGATTTCTGCGATTTGTTTTCGAGTTTGCAAGGGCTTTCACTAGTTCATATTTGGCATCTTTTGAAGCTTTATCATGTTCCACGGACCGATCCACAATGTATTCCACAAACCCTGGGCTGTTAAACATAAGTTTCTGAGCCCAGGGTTGGTTTGCAATAGCCTAAAGAGCAACAGAGGAAGAGAACAATTCCTTTTTAATCTCAAAAAAAAAGTTATAAAGAAAGCTAAGGATGGAAGCTCCTTAAAGATAGGGTCTATATCTTATTTGCAAAACTGATAAAAGCTCCCATTTACAGCTTACATTCTCATTAAAGCCCAACAGAATAAATATTATTGTGCTTACTTTACAGATGAGAAGACCACAGCTTCAACATGGTTACATAACTATTAAGAGACAGACCCAAGACTAAAACTCACGTTTTTTGCTTCCAGGTCAAAATGCTTTTTCCACTACTTTATGGCACCTTATCCAACACAGAGTACTAGGCTTTGCATTACAGGTAGGTACTTAAATAACTTGAGAACAAATCAAGAAATTAAAGAAGGATTTAGATACCATCATGTCAGATCAAACACGAACTCAAAAGACTTTATGTATGCCTTGATTAAAATGTACTAGACTAATTACTGCACAGAGCAGGAAAAAAAACCCCACAAAACTCCACAGCATATTACTACTTTTCAGATGCTTAGGTCTCATGAAATCAGAAATTCCAACCTCTGTTAACACACAAAAATAAAATCACTGTCTAACCAACAGGAATATATTAAGTTAAAACTACTTTCCAGCAATTACACTTGATGCTGCTTACTTGGGAGGAAACACTTACTGTGAACACTTTTAATGCAGCACAATGCAGCTCAGGGAAAGGTTGGGTGCTGATCCCCCCTAAAATGTTCCAGTGGTTCCCGAGTTAAAGATGAGAACCAGAATTCTGTCATTCTTAGGAGATCATCAGTCTGTTGATCATACTGTTGGACAAAGAGGGGAAAATTACTCAATGTTTTTCAATATGATAATAAGAGCACAGACTCTTGGAATTTACAGCTAGAGCCTTAAAGAGCCTTTGGTTCAAACCCCTCATTTTACTTTGAGCTCCAGGAAGGTTAAGCCACTTGCCCAAGACCAAACAATGTGTAAGCAGCAGAGACAGGATCTAAATGTAGGTCCTTTGATTCCAATATTTTCACAAACGTGTAGCTGAGAACATAGGATTAGTAACCAGAGCCCTGGATTCTAATCACATCTCTACCAATATCTGTGTGATCATGATCAAGCCATTTTACTCCACTGGACCCCAGTTCCCACATCTGTAAAATGAAGAGATTGGACTAGATCATCTCTAAGGTCACTCTCATCTCTAAGATTCTATGGCAACTCTTACATTAACATTAACCCCTTAAAGGGTATGCCCAGTAAGACTAAGGATAACACTTACCTGACAAATGTCTTTATCTAAATTTTGAAATGTCAAATCACATATATTTAGTCTACCAAACATAATCTACTAATTTCTATCAACATTTTCATCTACTTACTGGTAAATGAAGAAGAGATGAAATCGCATCCAAACACCTAATTTTTAGTTCTGTTGAAGCATTCTTTGCCTGGTGTCCTATTCTCTTTAGCAGATATTCAAACCGACTTCCTTTGGGAAATGGAAAATCAGACTGTTTTAAATAAATTATACTTTCTGTTTATACACAAAGACATTCTCTAACTCCAGACTACAAATAAATGTACTTTTAGAGACCAAACAACAGCTATGAAAAGATGTGCCTAAGTACACACACATAAAAAAATAGCACCTATTTTAAAACTCTAGTCCAAAAGCACCCTTGAGGTAGTCTACCTTAGGGCTGCCAATCAATCAGTATTTCCGGCATAGCTGGTATTGTATCACAGATGCTGGTTGCTTCATACCATGTCTTACATTGTAGCCAGGGTTTTGTTTGTGATCATTATCTGTAGTGTTTATAATTATAGTATCCCCAATACTGTTTGTCATGAAAGATACTTATTTACAATATGCCTATAGGTAAAACATCAAAAGCACTATTATCATTGTAAACCTCTATGTTTTATGCAGTGGTAAACTATACTAGAGAAGGGATCAGTTATCAATCTACCATCAAGTCTGCATGGTTTAATAAAAGGAATACTAGATTAGGTGTCTAGTGACTTGGGTTCTAGTTCCAGCTTTCCCCTAACATTCTGTATGACTCTGGATAAGCCACTTCACCATTTTGAGTCCACATCTACAAAATGAAGTTAGGAGACTAGATGATCAATAATGTCCCTTTCAGAACTAACATTAAAGGATTCTCTAAGTGACTAGTGAACCAAGACAATTTTGATCTACTGCAAAAGGGAGTTATAAGTGAGTCTGAAAAAGTGATTTTTTAAGAATGGATCCAAATTAATTAAGATTGTAAAAACAAAACACCAATTTTCTGCAATTTATTAAATCTACCAGCAATCAACTTAATGATAAACAACTATATTTCATCATCTTCATCAAATAACAAAACTTTCCTTTAGAAATAAAAGACATACTGCACCAACCTGTTTTTTGTAAAACCTGTTTTCCTTCCACATTTGAGCCCAGGATCCCTAGGGTGTCCACTGCTACTCCTATCATGGTGGGGTCCTGACCTTCTGCCATTTCAAAGACTTTTTCTATAAAGATTGGGTATCGTTCACAGATCTGTTGAGGGCTATCCACTATTGCCAGGTTGCCAAAAAATTTGACAAATCCTAGAGAAAATCATAAAGAAGCAATTTGAATCAGGTAGCAAAATAGCACACACTGGACTACAACTAGCTTTACCTTATATTTCCACATAACTGAGCTTTAGGAGAAACATGGCTAAATGTTCTAAGCATTAGGAGACATTTCAAAGACAGTGCCAACAGCAACTCCCTAAACAAGGAACCAGAACAGACAGAGCAGAGGCTTCAGCAGATGTGTCTTTAGGATAAAATGATTCAGGCCTCATCTAAAAGGAGTTAGTTCTAAGGTCTTTTTTCAAAGACAACAAATCCTGGCTCCTTTTCTAAGCAGATGATTCAGTGGTTGCCTCTATTACAAAGGAAATACAATGTCTATTACCTGGCAAATAGAAACTGGAGAAAGGATCAGAATCTGCCCCGACAATGATATTAGAAATCTGATCAATTATTCCTTCTTGGGAAAGGTACTGTCGTCCATGATGAGTGTATGCCAGTGATGTCACCATTTCTATACAGGTGGCTCTGCAATATATAAAATGAACAGAAGGATTTTAATTAGCTGACATCAGAGTACTTTTAATGAACAAGAATTTGTACAGTTTCAGATTAAAAGCATTACAAAAATGAATCACTCAATCTGAGATACTCAAATGCTGCTCCTTTCAGCTCTAACATTCTATGATTCTGTGACTTTGTTTATGGATATTACTAATTAAGATCATATTTATAAAACACAGGGTAAAAGGTATGTCTTGATTTTTTCTTTTTCCCCGTAGTGCCTTAAGTTTACACTGGCTCCTCTCAATTGACAAATACTATGAAATAACGTGGGATCATAAGATATAGGGTAGAAAGAGACCTCAAAGGTCATCTAGTCCCCCCTCCTTCTTCCATGTGTGAGAAAAATGAAGTCAAGAAAGGCTGACTGCCAAATTCACATAAGTAGGTAGTAGAGCCATGACTCTAACCCAGGACCTCTAACTCAAAATTCAGTGCTCTGTTTACTATGCCAGTTGCCTCTAACAAAGGCTCTGACAATCATGCCTAGATGGTCATTTCTTCTAAGGGTCTGTTAGGAAGCCGATTGGCTGAACTCTAGGCAGAAGTTTGCTTTCCAAAATCACCTTGTTCAACCCACCTGACTAGCACATCATCACCAGTCAGCTCTCTAATGAGCTGGGTTACTAATCCGCTGTTGGTACAGTATTTTAAGGATTCTGGTGACACAGAGGCAATCTCCACAATCAGCTAGAGTAAAACAAAAACAAAAACAGAGATGTAAAAGGAGCCAACCAGTATAACACTGGTTCTCAATTTAACCTAAAATAAAGACTTAGGGAACTTAAAATAGCATTTTTAGTTCTAAAGAAAACCAACACATGCCTCTA